AGTCCAGACATCTCTCTCCCCACCAGCATTCCCCAGTTTATCCTGGGGGATCCCAAGGTGTTCTCTGTTTAGATGAGATATATTTTTGTTGTCCTTGCAGGTGACATCAGATCAGATTGTGGAGCGGTTAGAAGACTTGGAGAATGCTCCTCCTCTGGCTGTGCTGCCCATTTACTCCCAGCTGCCGTCTGACCTCCAGGCCAAGATCTTCCAGAAGGTCTGCATGAATCACAGCTCATAATGTTGTGGTTTTTTTTTTTGTTTTTTTTTTAACTTGTGAGTACTTAAAATGAAGACAGGTGCGAAAGTATAGCAAACCCCCTGATGATTGTCTTTGTTTTATGCACTGCTAGGCTCCAGATGGCGTGAGGAAATGCATTGTTGCTACAAATATTGCTGAGACTTCCCTTACTGTGGATGGAATCATGTTTGTCGTGGATTCAGGATACTGCAAACTTAAGGTACTCCTAGGCCTCAGTCACACTGTAAATAAATTGTGTGTGTGTGTGTGTATTCCATATTACAGTTTATTAAAAATCCCTTTACTGTAAACAATATTTAAACAAGCTGGAACCATTTGTTTTATTCACTTTTTTTGTCAACAGGTTTTCAATCCTCGCATTGGAATGGATGCTCTGCAGGTTTATCCTATCAGCCAGGCTAATGCTAACCAGCGTTCTGGCAGAGCAGGACGTACAGGACCAGGGCAATGTTACAGGTAATGGCCTTTCTCAGCTGTCAGTATACAATCACATGAAACAGTCATATCAAGAGTGCTGGGCTGGTTTATACTTTTGTCACACAGAAGTTTCTGCGACACTACGTCTAACTTTAACTTCTAGTTGTTGGATATTCTTATTTAGTTTTTTTCTCGTGGCTTTCAGAGAGCTTCCTGAACATACATTATTGTCCCACTTTGGTGTCTATTTTAGTTCACATTCAGATTTAACCATCTGAATAGGGGGATCCTTTTCTGTTGCTGTTTTCTTAAAAACATAGCATCATTTTAGCATAACTGTTAAAGGGTGTTTTCTTCCCTCAGTCAGGTGACATCGGTGCGGTTATCAGACGCTTGATGTGTGACATGGTCATGCTTTCAAGACAGTCAGAGGCAAGATGGGAGAGTGAGAGAGAAAGAGGGCAAAAACCTTAATCGTCAGAGGATTTCATGCAGTTTAACTCTGTTTATGGCAGGGAAATGTGCAACAAAAGACCCTGTCAGAGATTTCACTTGACCCCTCACTCTTTTGCCACATTTATTTAAGCAGATACTAAATGACACACACACATATGGTGATGTTTTGCATTCCTAATGAGCTATAATGCTTATGAAAGCCCACATATTTCAGGATAAATCCTGCCCACCTGCTCTTACACACAAGCTTACAGAAATCTATGAAGAATCACTTTTGGAGCAGCTTTACACAAAGTACATTTAAGGTGTTTGAGCAGCTATGAATGTGTGTGTTATAGAGTTCACAGATGCCGGTTTGCTCCGCTCGCGTGGAGAATTCTCCACTCAGAGAACGTTTTTGCTGTGACTGCAGGCACTCGCACACATTGAAAACCTCCATATGCATTCAAATCATTCTGTAGTTATAAGCACCAACATCAGGCAGCTGTAATTGTTGAGAAAGCTTGAAGTTAGGTCCTTTTAACTAAGGCTCTGGATGTTTCCCTGAATTTTCCTTTGCAGCCCATGCACATGTGGCTCTCAGTGCTTAGTTAGAATCCATCTGACATGCCTGCACATGCAGTGTTGGAGAACAGAATAATTTGCATCAGTGCCACATAACAAGATGGCCCATGAAGCATATTCTCTGTCCCTGCCCATGCAGTGTTTCACTTTACATGAAAAGTAAAAAAAAAAAATACAAACATCTGTACATATTACTTTTTTTTTTTTTTTTAGTAAAATGTGATTTTAGTTTCATATTCTTGGTGGTGTAAATGTCACACTCACTTTGTCTATGTGCTTTCCTCTCTGTCCAGACTCTACACTCAGAGTGCTTATAAGAATGAGATGCTGACTACTACCGTGCCAGAGATCCAGCGCACCAACCTGGCCAATGTCGTCCTGCTGTTGAAGTCCCTGGGTGTTCAGGATTTGCTCCTCTTCCGCTTCATGGATCCACCACCTGAGGACAACATGTTAAACTCCATGTACCAGCTCTGGATCTTAGGAGCGCTGGACAACACAGGTGGGTGGTGAACAACAGTGGGAATTACCAGATGATATATTCATAAACAATAAATGATTTTTTTTTTTTTTTGTGGATTGAATAAAGCAATATGTTGCAGCTGAGTATCGTTTATGATTAATTACAGCCTGCTCTATTAATTTGGTAGTTATTTATTTCACGTTTTTTACATTTTTCATTCAGAAATGCCAAGCATTCCTTAGTTTCTAAATTGTGGGAACTTGATGCTTTTCTTTGTAAATATAATAAATATACTCAAACAAGTTAACACCAGTTTGCATTTTAGGAAATTATACCAGGTGTTTTTTCCCCTTTATATTCTGACATTTTATATACCAAGCAATTAATTCATCAGCACAGTAAATGGCAGAAAAATGAATCAATAATGAAATTAATGTTGGTTACCACTAGCTACAACTAATTAGGTTGCCACAGCAAACCTTAATCAAAAGGTTTTTTTTTTCTATAGAACAAAGTTTAAAACAATGAAATTCTAGGTAAAGTTTCAAGTCAAATCAGTTACCCTGGTTGTACAGTAAGGTCATGTAGACAGGTAAAATGGCATAACCATTTTGTATATATGTACTCTAAAATGGTTATCTTAATTTCCGCATATTGTGATCTGAATGCAGATGTGCGCACTGTAAAACCATGTTTTATTTTGCACACCAGTCGTTTTAACATGCTAATAATTAAACAATAAATTACAACAACCTGCCCATCATGTATCAGAATTGTCACAAAATTTTATTCTGTATCTTTTTGCATTACCTGTGGTAGCAGGGCGTAGCTCACCCACGCCAGGCTTGTATACAATAGGGCCAAACAACATAAATCATCCTCCTTTTGAGATGAGACTGTGACAGAGAATATTGTGTGGTTGAGGGTTGTATTTTCCCCTCAGCGCTGCTTGGAGCTGCTGCATATTGATGCTGACACCATAAACACAGGCAGGAGACTGGCTTCTGTGAATGATGTTACGGTGGTGATGCAGACGTGGCAAACAGGCCCGGAGGATGTAGTTGTGAGGTTTAGCCAGTGGAGTAATTGCCTAGTAACTGATCCTGTGTGATTTGATTGCTTGGGTCTCATTTCTGTCTCATCCAGATTCCAGGGGATTGAGGGATTTGGGGATAAGGGGGGACTTTTGATGATTCCCTGTATGGTGTGTTAACAGCAGATTATCTCTGATTAAGGCTTACCTGCCCCAAACTGGCTGTTCTGCTTCTTTGCCTTTCCTCCTTGTAAGCTTCTTAGAGTCTGTCATCTAATCATTTAAATCAGAACTGGCAAAGTTTTTTTTTTTTTTAAATCTCACATGCTTTTTTTTTTTTCCTGTACAAGTGTTCAACTGTCAGCAGTTCATACTCCTCTCTCACAGTGATAGACAAATAAGTGTCACATTATACTGGTATCTCCCTCATGCCAGAATACTTTTGATGTATAAGAAGCTTATGACTTGTTTTGTGCTCCTCTCTTCTATATTTATTAATATCTCAGGTGCTTTAACACCAACGGGACGTCTGATGGTGGAGTTTCCCCTCGATCCTGCCCTTTCCAAGATGCTGATTGTGTCCGTTGACATGGGCTGCAGTGCCGACATCCTCATCATTGTTTCCATGTTGTCTGTGCCGGCTATCTTCTACAGGCCTAAGGTATGTCTCCTTTAATACAGTTGCTGCATAATTGGAACATGTGTTGTTTATTATCAACTTACTGTCATATCTTTTAGGAATCCATTAGTATTTTATTGTGTTATAGTGGCTAAAATCCATATTTATAGCAGATTCCCATGACTACTTGTATGTGAAGGGGTTGCTCATACTGATGAACCTGCAGAGAATTATCACCTCATTCTACAGATCTTCTCAGCTCTTTATAGCATATAGATTTATAGCATTTTTCAGCTCGGTGTTTGGGCCAAAATTTACAGATCTGACTCACTCCTACTATTCTAATAACATTGTTTTTGCTCCTAGCATGTCAGCTGTTTTCAGCACTAAAAACCCACTGAATATTGCCTGCTCAGCACCAAACAGCAGACAGGCATGGTTAGACACTAGCAGCTGACCATAGTGGAGCATTTAGCATCCTAAGAGTCAGATATTTCCCTGAGGAATTAGTGTAGACTAGAAGCAGAGCTACAAAGTGAATGTTGGACTTGTATTTGCCTGGCTGTACACCACTCTGCTGCTGGATGAGAAAATACACAGATATTTACTAACAGATTTCACACTATCACATTTAAAGGCGTCAATATGCCTATGATGAGTTGTTAGCTTCTTTGCTCTATGCTGCCAAAAAAAAAAGTGTTGTTGCAGTATTCCAGGTCTCCCTTGAAAAAGAGATCTTGAGCTCAGTTGGACTTCCTGGTAGAATAAAGGTTAAATAAATAAAAACAGAAATAAATCAGCTTTTTTATAATGTGTTTCTTTACTTCACAATGGGAGAAAAATAACCTTGAAATGTTTAAAACTTGGATCTTTATCTCTCTGAAGGGTCGTGAGGAGGAGAGTGACCAGGTGAGGGAGAAGTTCTCAGTCCCAGAGAGTGACCACCTCACCTATCTCAATGTCTACATGCAGTGGAAGAACAACAATTACTCCAGCATCTGGTGCAATGAGCACTTCATCCACACCAAGGCCATGCGCAAGGTCAGACTCTCAGCTCAACTTGTCAGTCAGTTTTAACTTGTTAAATTCCTTCACGTCAAAATTAGCATTTGGAAATCCCACAGTCTACTTTTTTTTTTTTTTTTTGCTTAGTTTGGTGTTTGAATTTGTGTGGTGC